CCCAGCCCCGGTTCTATACAAATTTTATGGTTTTTTCTAATCTGTAGAAAATATCATTGGAATTTTGATAGGGATTGCGTGGAATCTGTAGATCACTTAGGATAGTATGGACATTTTAACAATAGAATTCTTCCAATCCATGAACACATGACATTTTTCCATTTATTTATGTCTTCTTTAATTTATTTCATCAATATTTTACAGTTTTTACTGTACTTTTCTTTTACCTCCTTGGTAAATTTATTCCTAAGTATTTTATTTTTTGATGTTATTAAATATTTTTGTTTTCTTGATTTCTTTTTTGAATAGTTTGTTATTGGTATGTACAGTAAATTCTATTGATTTTTGTCATTTGCTTTTGTATCTTCTAATTTTATTGAATTCATGAAATGGTGTATTTTGCTAGAGTCATTAAGGTTCTTTACACATAAGATCATGTCATTTATAGACAGAGACGATTTTACTTCTTTTCTCAGTTTGATCCTTTTTGTATTTCTTTTACCTGGTTTTTCTGACTGTGACCTCCATTACTCCAATGAATACAAATTGTGAGATTGTCTTTGTCTTGACTATGATGTCAACTCTGGTCTTGTAGCCTTCATTATTTTGAAGACAATTTATTTTATACCCAGTTTGTTGAGAGTTTCTGTCATGAAAGGATGTTTAATTTGCTTTTTCTATATGTATTGACATAATCATAGGATTTTAATCCTTCTGTTACTGTGGAATATCATACTTACTGATTTGCATACGTTGGACATGCCAGGGATAAATTCCACATTATGGTTTGTGATGCTTTTTAATGTGCTGTTGAATTTGGTTTTGCTAGTATTTTGATATGGAGTTTTGCATCTGTAAGTATGTTCATCAGGGATATTGATCTCTGGTTATCTTTTCTTGTAGTGTCTTTGGATTTAGTATCAGGGTAATGCTGTCCTCAGAGAATTGAGTCTGGCAGTATCCTGTCTTATTCAGTGTTTTGGAAGAATTTGAGAAGAATTGACACTAATTCTTCCTTAAATGGCCTGCAGTACTCACCAGTGAAGCCATTAGGTTTTGGGTGTGTCTTTTTTGGGAGGTTTTGATTATTGATTAAATTTTCTTACTTATTGTTCTGTTTAGATTTTCCTTTTCTTCATGATTTACTCCTGTTAGGGTTTATATTTACAGAAATTTGTCCATTTCTTCTGAGTTAACCAATTTGTTGACATGTAGTTGATCCTGATCTCTAATACTTTTTGAATTTCTGTTGCATCAGTTGTAATGTCTTTTCTTTCATAATTTTATTTATTTGGTACATAATGGGGAAAAGACATTGTCTTTAATAAATGGTCTTGGAAAAATTGGATATCCACATGCTAGAGAATGAAATTTTACACCATTTAAAAAACTCAACTCAAAGCGGTTGAAAGACTTACAATAACAGAAGCTATAAAGCTACAAGCAGAAAATATATGACAAAACTTCCTAGCATTCATCTGGGAAATGGTTTCTTGGCTATGACACCAAAAGTACAAGCAACTAAAGCAAAAATAGACAAATGGAATTGCATCAAACTGAAAAGCTTCTGATCAGCAAGGGAACCTGTCAATGGTGAAGAGATAACCCTATATAGATTGGTAGAAATATTTTTAAGCTATACATCTGAAAAGGAGTTAATTTCCAAAATATTTAAGAAACTAAACTCAATAAAAGAAAATAAGTAATTTGATGAAAAAAACATGGGCAAAGGACCTGAATAGCCGTTTTTCTAAAGGAAACATATAAATGGTCAATGGATATATAAAAAAATTCTTTACATCACTAATGATCAGGGAAGTACAAGTTAAAACCGCAAAAAGATGGCTGTTAAAAGCATCCTTCTAATAATCACAATCGAAAAAGCAAAATGCAAGTGTTGGCAAGGAGGTGGAGGAAAGGAAACCGTTGCATGCTATTTGTAGGTATAAATTAGTACCGCTGTTATGGAAAATAGCTTGGAAGTCCCTCAGAAAATTAAAAATATGATCCAGTAGTTCTACTTTTGAGTAGATATCTAAAGGATATAAAGTCAGTATACAGTACTGAAGAAACAGTTTTACTCCCACGTTTATTTCAACATTATTCACAGTAACTAAGATATGGTAGTCAGTCCCATGTGCATCAACAGATAAAGAAAACCAAATGTGGAAATCTGTGTGTGTACATACATACAGTCACAAATACACACAATGGAATACTATTCAGACTTAGAAAAGAAATAAATTCTGTCATTTGTGACAATATAGGTGAATTTGGAAGACATTATGGTAAATGAAATAAACCAGGTACAGAAAGACAAATACTATATGATATTGCTTATATTTAGAATCTAAAAAACCTTGAACTTATAGAAGCAGGCAGTAGAATATTGATTATCAGATTCTAGAGTGGTGGGAGGGGATGAAGATATATTGATCAAATGTTAATAAACTTTCAGTAAAACAGGATGAATACATTCTAGGAGGCTGTTGTACATCATGCTACAGTTATAGTTACTAATAACTTATACAGCAGACTTCTGTGTCTATAAGTTATATATTCCTGAATTCAACCAACTTTGGATCAAGAATATTTGAAAAACATTTTTACCTGTAATGAACATGTGGAGAATTTTATCCTTGCTTTATTCACTAACAGCCTGTGACTACTACTTACATAGCATTTACACTCTTTTAGGTATTATAAGTAGTCTAGAGATGATACTAGTATATGAGAGACTATGCATAGGTTATATAAAACACTACATCTTGTCATATAGGCACTGGAGCATGTCGGGATTTTGGAATCTGCAAAGGGTCCTGGGACCAGTCTTCTGTAGATGTTCAGGATGGACTGTGTTTGAATAGTGCTTGAGCGAAGCGATTTTAAGTATTGTCATCACAAAATTATAAGCACTGGTATGTGCCATGATGGAGGTATTAGTTAGCATTTGCAAGTAGACATATACCAAGCTCATTTTGTACACTGCATATGTATACAATTTTCATTTGTCATTTACACCTTAATGAAGTTAGGTAAAAATAACCACAGCCTTACTCGGTGCTTTTGGCACATATGATCACATTTTAAAAGCATTTTCCAAAATAAATAAATAAATAAATAAAAGCATTTTCCATTGCACATGTAGTTTTTTGATAATGAAACTCTTAGTCTCTTAATTTTCATTCAAAAATCAAGTTTAGAAAGATGAGAAATTGTATTTTTCCTTAAGGACATTTGTTTTATAGCATGTTCTACCACTTTAATATATTTTATAGAGGCAGACAGTATGAATAGTTGCTAAGGGCATAGACTCCTAATCAGGACCACTTAGGTTTGGATGCGGGCTCCCATTTACTCATCTGTATAATGGCGCTAATAATAGTACCTACCATGTAAGGCAGTAGAATTAAATATAGAATTGGTTTTAATAATTAAATATTTGTAAAGGTCTGGAACCATGCCTCTAATATAATTACTGCTGCACATGTTAGTAGTTGTTATTGTCTTTCTCATTCTCCCTTCAAAATAGGTAGTAAGAGGGGATCTTGCTAAATGTATATATTTTTCTAATTAAAATGCTGACTAGAATTACTGTTCGGAAGCCAAATATTTTAACTTACAGTTTAGAAATACATTTTTTTTGAAAATTGTTTAAATTCAGTTGAAGTGATACAGTTTTAATATCTAATCTAAATGGTGAAAGCTGTTGTACTGTTTTCATGAGTTTTTATCTCGTTTATTTTGCTATGTGGACATGTGTCTAATAAAACAAAGATGCTGCATAAACCATTGCTTGAGTTTGAATGTGCTTCTGTTTTGGGTTGAGGTATAAATGTTATTTCTGGCTGTGTTCTTCATACTTAGCTCTTCTTACAACAAATGGAAACTCCTTAATTGCACCTAAGGGGATAGTTAATCCACGATGGACATATGGTGGACAAAACCTGAGTCTGGTAAATGAAATAAAATTAGAAATGGCAAATATGTGAATGCCTACGAGTCTGGCAAATATGAAAGGTAAAATATTTGAGATTAGCAAATTTTGTGCAGCATAATTCTCTTTTTGGCAAGTTTGTGTCATTCATGCATACATAAATTTAATAAAGAGACATGCTGTCAAGTTATGTGTAAAGTATAACCTTTTTTTAAATTGTTGATCTCTGAGATATGACTTGGATGCCAACAATAGAGGCTGATGATCTCACATTTTTGGAAAGTGACTGCTCTTTTGATTGGAAGAAGTTAATTAACGTTAACTCAGAACAGCTCTTGGGCTTTATGGATTTGAGCATTCTGTGGCTGCATTGCTCCAGCAAAAGGTTAAGTATTAATGGAAAATGGTCACAGCCCTTTTACTTAAAGAAAACATGTTACTTGTAAGTTTTCTTTTGATTTTACTTTTACAGCTACATTGAATGTCTTCTTTCATTTAGCCATCCATAAAGCAAATATTGTTGCACATGCAGTGGATAATAAGTCTTTTTAGGACTACTTGTGTGGTATGTCACAGATCATTAACTGCAAGTAACCACCTGATTTGAGGGAAGCCTGGAAGCATCATTATAGTGAAATAAGCTTTTATTTAGGTATCATTGCAGCACATTGATTTATAGAAATGTCACAGATTGCTACTGTGAAAATATATTCTCATTATCATTCAGGGAATAGTAGAGATTAACTGCTATGACCGTGAAAGAGATGTATTGCTAACAATGGAGAAAAGAATAATAAATATTGTGCTTGGTGTTTTATCTAATTACTTTTAAAGAACTATTAGTAATTGACTATATGACATGATTCTTTAGAAGGCTTTTGACTTTGTGATTGTGTACATGTATTAAAGATACATTCTGAGTTTATAATTTGAAGTACATTTAAATTAAGCAGCAAGTAAGGGATAGCAAACATTGCATAGCTGTTTAACTTAGTGCTTAAGCACTATTTTCTCTGTGTGAGTATTGGCTACTTTTTAAGAACATCATATGCATGCATCTTACCTTCAGGAAACTGAAAGTCTTGATGTTTTTGTTTATTGTGCTCATCTTCCCTAAAAGAAATACAACATTTAATTTAGTCATGTTATGGGAAGGGAAAAATTGTCAACTAAGGGTTAAGAAGAAGTAGAATTTAAAACTTTGCAAAATTAATAGAGTTTGATAATGAGTAGATGTATTGAATTTCAGGCATGATGTTAATTTTAAAGTAAGGTCTAGTAAGTGTGAGTGAGAGAGAAAAAGTCTTGAACATTCTGGAGGCAGGTTTATTTTACATTGATGGGCACTGAGTGAGATCATCCCAAAATACTAGGCCCTGATCTCTGGTGGTCTGGGGCTTGTATAGGATAACCAAGCAGGAAGTACAGAGAAAGAATGGCTTGTCAACTGGGGATTGGTTTATACAGTGTGCATCATCATGACCAGCCATTTCTAGGAAATAGGAGCAATTGGAACTAGAACAGGTACTATCACCTGGGCAATCAGAAACTGAAGTAAACTGGCTAGGGGGCCATTTTCTGTTACATTTCTCCCCTCTTTTAGTTTCCCTGGCAAATTTTTGCTGGGCATATTACATATGATATTCTGAGATAAGGCCCAACTTGAAACAGTAACATTAAGGTTGCCAGTGATCCTAGGATGGGTCCTAGCTAAGATCCCGAAGACTGAAAATTCCTGTCAGGAGTTTGTGGTTCATTTTCCTTACTATGGGATTTCTTCCTAAATTGATGCTGACAAGGGAGGGAAGGAGTTAATCTGATCTAAGAGTGTCCAGTGTGTCTTGGATGCTCATTAACTCTTTATCATTTCATAAGTGAAATAAACCAGACTCACATGTGTAAACATCGAATTGTCTCCCTGGTGTGAAAAGCTAAAAGAGTAAATAAGATCCAAAATGTACAATGTATATTGTAAAATGGGAAGAAGCTGTTCAAAAGGAAAGAGAAATTGGGGTGGGGAAGAGGAGAAAAGAAGGAAAAAGCAGAATAGACACACACACACACACACACACACACACACACACAAAGATAAGATTGTTATACTACTAATTTCTCGTAGTTCATTGAAAAGAAAGGTTTGTGCTAATATTGTTTGGACAACTAAATGCCTATATCTTGTACTCCTGAGTAACTAATTTATGATAACAATATGCAATGTATTAACCATTGTTACTCTCCTATTGTTTTGAAATTTTGTTTTACTTTGTTTCTCTTTAAAATAAAAATTTAAAAAATCTTTATCATCTGTAAGTTTATTTTCTCATTGATATTTTCTGTTTCCTTGAGGCAATCATCTATAGAGTCAAGGGAAAGCAAGGACTGGGGCAAGCAGCCTGAAAAGGCACAAAAATCAAGGGGAGTAATTTGTTGAGTTATGGAGCAATTTTGAGAGTGGTGTCCTCAGGCCTCAGCTGTGCATGAACTGGCCAGTGTTTGGAGGGACCAGAGCAGGACATTGAGTGTGTCATCTTTTGAGAGTAAGCTGTATGGTCCAGGTAAAATTTCAGCAGATCTAAGGCTGGATTTCTGAAACTTTGTAGAGGTAGTTAATATGCATCTGGGTTATATATGTATGTGCAGGAATGTCTATAGGAATGCTGGTCTTTTAACTGATTACAAGCTGTTTCTGTAGGGTTATGTTCTATTTTTGTGTAATCTGTATAGCTTTAAATGGGGAGAGTTCACTACATTGCATGAAGTCAGGGCCAGTGGCCCATATGCTGAAGCCTGAGCTGGCTGCAGGTGCCAGTGCTGTGGCTTGAGCTTGCAGACAAATGGTGGGAGCAGGTCTGGCTCTGATCTTCTGGGAATACTGGGTAAAGTCTTTCTTGCTGGGATTGATGTTTTAGTCAATTGGATCCCCAGAGGGGGCTTAGGAGTACAGGTTTGGCATCATTGGTGGCAGGTCTCTAAATAGCACCAGGAAGCAGTAGCAGGAGAGTTTTGGCCAAAATAACCTTGTCCAAGGTGGTCACAGCATATCTAGCCTGTCCTAATAGAGCTACTTCCATCTATATACAGGGTGTACTCAGCATCTGTCAGAGGGTTTATTTCACCGTTACTCAGGAGGTGCAGTATAGCCTGTAGCACCTGGACAGTTAGGTCTCAGCTTGAGGCAAACCTGTCAGCTTTCTAATAGCTACAGAATGGCAGGAGCTATTAGAGCATGAAGGTAAAAGGGAGAGGCAGCCATTAGTGACTGGATCCAAGTATTTGCTGGGTAAGCATTGTTGTTTTAGTGAACTCAAGAATCCAGATTCTATATAAGCCAGCAGCTCCAAGAAATTTGTGGGTTTTTTCTTGTTACCAGTTTCTGCCAGATATAGTAGCAGAACTTTTGTGCCTTTCCAGCAGACAGCTTGGATGTCACTAATCAGAAGTGCAGTGATATTTTGTGCTTGGAAACTAGTATGGTCAGCTGTGAGGGCTTCTCTGAAGAGAGTAAACAAGTTTTTGAACCTCTGAGAGGGTAACTCCAGATCAGTTGACCTTTGAGTCCAGAACTGGGGTCTTTTCATTTAAAGGCAAAGAGTAGCTGGCTGAAAGGAGCCAACTGAAGGCAGAAGAAAGCAATCTTTAGGTGCAGGCAGGTGTACCAGCAGGCTGTGGGTGGCAGAAGACTGAGGCAACATATATGGAGGGCAACTGCGGCAGCATTGGCAGCGCAAAGATCTTGAACTAGCTTTACAGGCAGGAGAGATATATTTTAGCAGTTTGACAGTCTATAGACATTCTGCAGTTGTGAAGCCTCATTTTTTTTTTTTTCCCTTGGGGGACCTTGATGGAACTGGAAGGGACAGAAAAAGAGTTTGTCTTGGAAGTCAAATCTTGCTGAGACCTCCCTGAAAGTAGTGCGAGAGTTCCCAAACCATTGTGGTGATTGAGTAAACAGTCCAAAAAGGGTGTATGGATAGGGAGCTGCAGAATGTAAGGTGATGGCTGTGTTGTTGATGGCACGGAGATCTTGTATTGGTCACTCGTCCCCATTGGGCAACAGACAAAGGGTGGGTGCTCCTCAGAGAGACCATTCAGATAGCTGCCTGGCCTTGTCACTTGCAGGGACTTAGGCACCTCTTAGCTAAGGAGGATGTGAGGCTTCCATTACGCCATATATCATTTGCCATGGAATTGCAGGTGAGGGCCCAATCAGCCACTGAGACCAGTGCTTCCCAGTCTTGGTACAGAGACAGAGCAGCCTATTGTTTACACTGTGCATTCCACTCACTCACAAATTCATCTTACAGGCACTCAGAGGTTAAACACTCCCAACTCCCTCTCCCTTGCAGGTGGTCTTGATTAATGAGAGCTGATCAGACTCCCCTTCTGCTTGAGCTGAGTAGGACTGACAGACTAACTGGGGTGCCCCTGGGGATCTTACTGGAATCATGCAGGCAGGGGACAGACAGACAGGTTGCATCCTCCTCCATTTGGGGTTTGATGTGAGCCACTTGAGCAAGGAGCCAAGAATCCTGCAGACCCTGGAGGGGACTCAAGGGTGCACCTTCCTGGTAGGAACTGGAGAGGTCCTTGCTCTGTCTGCTAGGGCTATGATCAGTAACCAAAGCGGTCAGCACAGTTGGTGTTCCTGACCAATGCACCAGATGTAATGGAAATCGTAAACACCAAAACGACACCCAGGATTTGGAGGCAGATTTCTTTTACATCGATGGGCACTGATTGGGATCATTCCCAAAATATCAGGCCCTGGTCTTTGTTGGTCTAGGGCTTATGTAGGATAAGCAAGCAGGCAGTACAGAGGCAAAATGGCTTGTCAACTGGGGATTAGTTCTTACAGTATGCATCGTAGTGACCAGCAATGCATCACAATAAGTAGCTGTTTCTAGGAGACAGAAGCAACCAGAACTGTAACAGGAACTACTACCTGAGCAACTAAGAAACTGACGTATATTGTCTGGAGGGCCCATTTTCTGTTACAATATAATTTATATAAATTACATAATTTATAGTTTGGATTAGCAGTTTTCATGAAGAGAATTTCCAAACTCAGAAACAATTAGAGGAGTGTTATGGTTTGAATCTGTGTGTCCCCACAAAGCCTCAAGCGGCCAGGCTTGAGGGGCAGGCTTTTAGAGTTTGGTGGGTGTGAGAGCTACACCTGCCCTGGGGTGGATAGTTTGCATATGTAAGGGAGAGGAAAAGAGTGCTTAAGGACGTTCCTCCCCCATTCCGCGCTGGTGTGTGCTTGCTGTTTAGCTGTTGTGCTGCCACCCTGAGAGGTAGCTCTTTGCCATGTGCCACTGTGCCTTATAATCTGCCAAGTACGGACTGAAACCTCCACAAACTGTAAGCGAAATAAACCTTTCCTTCCTTCATTTTGGGCATCAGGTATTTTGTCCCAGCAATGAGAAAAAAGTAACCAAGACAAAGAGTTAATTTTGGACTAAGGTATATAGAGAATTCTGAACATTTGGGTCATGAGACTGAGCCACTTTCTAATACTATATACATCCTGATTTCATGCAAAGTAGGATGAAAAGTGCATGTTAATGACAATTAAAAACCCACACAAGCCATTGTTTCTTTTAGAGACTGGCCCTGAAAACCCAAACCTCTAAAGTATAAGTTGCTGCCCTTCCATCAGGTTGATTAGCCATAGAGTGAAAATACTCTCATTACTCATCATTTTGAAAGGATTACCAAACTAAAGTTAGTAATAAAATATTATAAAGCTCAACCAAATGTTTTGATTAGCCTTGTTGAATAGCATGAGAATAATTTCATCAGTGCAGTATGATAGTATATTTATTTAGCAAACAGTTGTGGAGGGCCTGTTTTGTCTAGGAATCATATAAAATACTGAGAACCCAAAGAGAATAAGATATGTTCCTGTTTTTAAGGACTTGATAGTTTGCAAGGTATAGCTATAAAATTATGAGGAAGATTTTTTTTTTTATGGGATTAAGGAGGGACAATGGCCAGTTCCTGGCCAGGAGGGGAAGATGGGCTATTAAATACTCATGAAGGGCCTGGGGATTTAGCTCAGCAGCACAGTGCCTGCCTGGCAAGCACGAGGTTGTGAGTTTGATTCCCAGTACCGGAAAAACAAAAAAAAAATAAAAACTCATGAAGCATAACACTAATTTTGTCATAAAGGCACAGAGACATAAGTCTGTCAGACCCCCGCTTATTCTTTGGAATAGTTCTACTGATTATTAGTTTTAACTTTATGAGCTTTATTATATTAAACTATGAGCACTTAACTAGAAAAAATATTAAAAAACTATTGAATGTTTAATATTTATTGAGTGTATATAAAAAACATCAAAATAGTCAACATTGACTGTTTTTTGGTGTACAAAGTCTAAAAAATAACAATGGAAATTTTCTCTATGAACTACAGTGAAAAATACCAATAGTACTCTACAAAAATAATCTTTAATTATCACAACAAAGGCACTTTTCATACATGACAATAGCACATTCCATACACATGCATTGCTTACGCTTACAGCACATGTGTTTCGCTTTTCTGGCCTTTTTGTGGGACATACTTGACATCTCCCTGTTCTTGCTGTTTTGTCAGGAGCTTCCTACTATATTGTATAATGTGCACTTAGCAGGGAAATAAGATATCAATAAAATAAAATACCAAATAGGTAATGAGTGCTTAGAATAGACACCAACATTTTCACATCAGCTGTGCACTTCCTTACAAAACCTAAAAGATAATATCAAAAGTAAAAACTTATGTGAACTGCAATGCAGTCACAAACAAAAGTTTACCACAGAAATAATCTTTGCTTCAACTGTTACACCCAAGGCATACATGACAACTACATGTTCTATACACAAGCATTGCTTACATTGATAGTACCTATGTTTTGTTTTCCCTCTACTTTCTTATAAGGCATAGCTGGTATCTTCTTTGTTTTCCTATTGTCATAGTAGGTCTTTATGATGCTAAACCTGTCAGATCACCAGTGGGCTCCATATCTTTTTTGCATAGTTCCCTGGGTGGAATCATTTTGTTTTTCCTCTGCTGTAAATGATCTCTTACGAGTTTCAGTCCCAGTCGTCTAAGAAAATTTCTCCATGATATTTTGTATTTGTTATTTTCTTTGTAAACTATCAAGCTATTTATACTTAAACACATGCTTAGGGTTGAGTAAAAACACAACCATTGGTCAACACTGTGTTTTGAGTGATAACATAGTTGCTGAATAATTCATCAACAACATCTACTCTGTTTTGGGGTTTGTTGTAGAAAGTGTTCATCTCAGGTCTCTGTTTTTTGAGGTTTCTTTATCAATATTTTTAGTATGGTGGAATGTTGACATCAGCTATACCAGTTTATTTTTCTTTGCCATATACAAGACCAATGTTATATCTTTCTGAAATCCAAAGATTGTATTTCACAGTTTTCTGTTTTGAAATTGCAACACTTCATTTGGGATTTTTGCTTTGTTCCTGTGTATAGTTCCTATCCTGGTCATCTTGTGCTATGTTAGCAAATGTAATGTCAATTAGAAACTGGTAAACCAATTATCAAATATCAAATTCTGATTAGTTTGGTAAATGGGAGTGACATGTCTGTTCACAACATCATTCAGTTGATTACTATACAAATAAGGCTGAGTTCCAGGGTATATAGCTAAATTGAAAGTATAAGTCTTTGCATATATAAGGGCATAAATTTATATGCCATATTTTGACCAATTGCTTTTCCATAGTCTTTTACATTCCTGTTATTACCATGAGAAATCCCTGCTAAGTACAGCAGACCTGTGAATGCTTTCAGTTTAGCTAATGAAGTGTCATAAATACATTTTTAATATGGCTATTGGTGCATACAAAATGTTTTACTTGCATTTCAGCCTTTCTGTATTTCACAGCATCTTGTAGAATTTCATCTGATACAATTTGCAACATTGAATGCCAGTGCTGGCATTCTGTCCAATACTTTTTACCCCTGAGAAGACCCTCACTATATTTTTCAGACCTAGTTCTAACATTGGCTTATTCCATTTGGTTGAGTGGCCATTTTGAAAGATTTTGACTAGTCAGATATGTACTCACATTGCTGTTTTCTTCATCATCTGAATCAAGGAGGTCTGCATTCCCTGTGTGTGTCATTCAGTTCTTGCTCCATTTCACTGTCACAGGAACTTTGGCTTACATGGCCAATGTCACAATCATTATCATCATCATCATCCACCCACACCACTCCTCTGTTATGAAAGCATGTATTTTACCATAGTGGATCATCTTCATCATCTATGCATAAGTAATCTGATGATTCACTTTTCATTTCCAAAACTTGCAAATCTGGTTTTTCATGTGCCATTGTACTGAACTGGCTACTTCTACCAGAAAAATCACAAGAAAACTTTTTCTTTTTTTTAAACAAATCCTGGAGTGGTGTGGGTCTGTTGCTTTGACGCTTGGGTGAACATATATAAAACCAGTTACATGGAGAATAAAGTGAGTAAAAATCCTGTTTTGTCATATTTGCACATGTGCACACACTTTGCCATTTGTCATACTAAGTGCGTAAACTCATAGATTGCTTCCTGTATCCCTCAGGGAAAGGTACTGAGATACACAGCTGGCTACTACTATGCTGAAGTACAAATTTGCAGCAGAAAAGTAAGGGATGGGTCTGCTGGATCCAGTGTTATGCTCCTACTGACATTATTAGCTGTGGATCACAATAAAACATGAATACCATGAAAATGTTGCCAAGCAAAAGTCAAAGTCATAGACATAGAGGAAGCATCATGTGGAGTCCTGTGAAAGCATGGAATGGTTTTCCACTTGGTTCTCACTGTATGAGAAATCTCCGTAGAGATTCTTTAAGAATCTATTTTCATTAGTTCACAAGTCCTGTCAGATTAGATGAGATCAGGTAGGAACCTTAAACTCAGAAGTCAGTAAATTCTGCTCTGCTCTACTTTCTCCAGTAAGGCCTTTTCATTGAATCCTTATAGAAATCTCATGGAATGTTGTCAGATAAGATTCCAATGTTGAAACTAAGCAGTTAGGCACATTTTTGCCTTGTTCATTTTAAAACATTTTCTCAAGTTTAATGATACAACAGATATAACACAAGTTGATATTATCAGTGTGTCATTTAAATCTTGTCTTGCTTTTAACCTAAATTTCAATGTCTTTCTCTGTTATATTTTATTCCTATTACACAAGCAAGTGTTGAACAGAAGTGGAAACAGGAAGTACTACCTCAGTGTTAACCCTGTGAGGATAATCACTGGTATGTTGTTTAGAACTGATACAACTCCAAAGTGTGATCATGGTACTGGCAGGTTTTTGTTGCCACAGGACTCTATTGAAATGAGTTAAATTAAAACAAAATAAAGTTGCCAAAACCTGTAAAATCTAAGAACTTTTCTGGAGGTTAAAAGTATCTATTAAATCCTCCTATAATGCCAGAATTGTCAAAAAATCATTTGGACCTAGTTTGTCTTTTGTAAGAGTTTCTCTTCCTTACTTGCATGTGCACACATCCCTCATACAAATGTGCACCCAGACACTCATGTACATACACACAGCTTTGAAGCTGGATCTTGAGTCCTTTCATGATGCTAGACATTGAATTTGCTAATGTTGGAGTTTCTCAAACAGATCTGTATTAAATTACACTGGCATAGTAAAACTCCAATAACATAAGATTTTAGTATCATTTTGTATTTCATAATTCATATGGCTTTCTCTTTTTATTTTTTTTATTTTTTTTTTTTGGCTTTCTCTTTTTAAAAGCTTTGTCTTCCTGTCTTTGCCTCTTAAATGTGTCATGAGTTCATTAATTAGATTGTAGTATATTTGATCAGATTTTTTCACATTATTTTGTTTAATACATTTTCCTTTATTCCCATCCTCCTTCTTGTCTTTTGTAGATCAGTTAACACTGTTAAAGCTACTTTTTCTTGTAGAGATCTGGAAATTTTTTTTGTAATTATTTTCCTTATTTTTAATTATAGTCAGCCTAATTTTATATCTAAAATATATAAAAAGATATATGAAAAGTTATTATTCTTGAAAGTTAAATATTTCATGTTAGTATTAAGTTATTAAATTTAATATTTACTCTAGAATGTCTCTGACAACATAAACAATCTTTCTCCCCAACTAACACAAGTATCCTGTACTTGTGACCCTTGTACTTCTTGATATTCGCATTCTTTTAACTTTACATTTCTGTTAGATTATTACTTATTTTATCTTGGTTTTACAGTGTGCTGTGTTTCATAGTCACATTTCACTGGGTTTTCCCAGCCTCACTTTTTGTCAGCTTTTTTTGCATCTATTAAATTCTTTAATGGGCCAACTTTTTGTCTTCTTCCATTAATCAAACATTTACTCATAAAAATTATATTAGATGGTAAGCCCTGCCTATTTATTGGGTAAAATTTCATTATCTTGCCAATATTTGAACAGTAGTTTTGCCTGTTTTAAATTTTCTCTATAACTTTTTAACTCATTATTCCATTGTGTTTTGATACTTACTATGGAAAATATCAGAATTGAAAACTAATATTGATAAGCATTTCTTCTGTATTTTTCCTTGTCATTGAGTTTGTAGGATTTTATGTAATTTTGGAGTGTTGGAGACTTGTTTTGTTGTTCAGATGATGATGGTGATGGGGATGATGATTACTAGTGGTATAGAGGATTGAAACTAGGGGCTTTGCACCAAGCTACATCCCCAAACCTTCTTTTAATTTTTTGAGACATTGCCTCTTAACGTTGCTAGTTTGCTTTGGCTGGGCTCAACCCTGAGGTTTTCTTGCCTCAGTCTTCCAGAGAGCTAAATTGTTGTTAGGTTGTGTGTTACTACAACCAGGATTGTTTAGATTTTTAAAAAAAAATATTACTTTGTGGTACTTGGGCAGCTTTATCAACCTTAAAATATGTCTTTATTAGTAGCTGAGAAAAATGTTATTGTGTTTATTTTCACTTTTTCCTTGTTTTCTGGTTGGTAGATATTTGAACTGCATCATATAATCTTCACAGCTTTGAAGTTATTTGTTAGGACTTCCATCTCTTTGGATTTTATTTTTCTTTGTGTCTGAGAGTCACCTTTTTTTTTTTTTTTTCCTTATGGATGTCACTATTTATACAGTTTCTTATTTTGGAAATTATATTTTGAACTTTTAAGAACACTTTCTTACTTTCCCATATTCTTTTCCATAACTTAACCTGTTCTTGCTTTATTTTTGACATTGATTTGAAGGCTGCCACATGCATATGTTTGTATGGCTTTTTTCATTTTTATGTTGTGTTTTGCTTATTTTTGTATTGTCTGTTGTCTTCATCGATTATATTTTAAAAATCAGTAGCTCTGTGGACTTGCATTATATTTTTGATTTTAACCTTCTGCGTATTTAAATTTGAAGACAGAATTTAATATTATTAATTGCTGATTTGGGTTTTAAAATTTGTTTTAAAGTTATTATTGATTTTTCTTAGCAGTTCTTATCTTCACCATGAACTTTTAAGTCTTTGCCTTAAAAACAGTCCTTAATTTCAAATTATAATGCAAAGCCACACTGATGAAAACAGCATGGTACTGGCAAAAACAGAGATGTGGATCAATAGAACAGAAGATACAGGAATAACCAGGCACATTCAGCCATATGCTGTTTGACAGAGGGGCCAAAAACATATGCTGGAAGCAAGATAGCCTCTTTAACAGATGGTGCTGGGAGAATTGGCTATATACTGGCAGAAGATTGAATCTAGAGCCATATCTCTTACTATGTACTAAAGTAAAATCAAAATGGATCAAAGATCTAAATACTTAAAACAGCAACACTTCACTTGCTGGAGGATGAAATAGGTAAAACTCTTGAAGACATAGGTGTAGGTAAGGACTTTCTGAACAGAGCCCCTATTGCACAGAAATAACATCAAAAATCAACAAATGGGATTGCTATTTAAAATCAAATAAAAAGCTAAGGAAACAACTGAGTGAAGAGACAACCTATAGAACAGGGAACGATTTTTGCCAGCTTTTCAGACAAAAGACTAATATGTAGAATATGTAGAAAGAACTAAAAAAAATTAGACCTCCTTCCTCAAAATAAAAGACCAAGTCAAGAAATGGGTAACTGGAGCCGGGCGTGGTGGCGCATGCCTGTAATCCCAGCACTCAGGAGGCTGAGGCAGGAGGATTCTTGCAAGTTCGGGGCTAGCCTGGCCTGCAAAGTGAGCTCAAGCTCAGCCTGAACTGCAGAGCAAAACCCTGTCTCAAAAAGATCAAAAAAAAGAAATGTGTAACTGAAATTAATAGACACTTTACAGAAGAAGTACACATTTTCATAGATACATGAAAAAATGTTCAACATTTCTGGCCATTTGAGAACTACAAATTAAAACAACACAGATTCCATCCCACTGCAGAAAGAATGGCCATCATCAAGAATTAGCAAATGCTGACAAGGCTGGAGGTGGATCAGGGAGGAACCCTTATGCATTGTTGGTGGGAAAGTGTACTAGTACAACCACTATGGAAATCAGTATGAAGATTACTCAAAAAATTAAGACTAGAAATTTCATTCAGCCCAGCTATTGCCTTTCCCTGTACCTTTCTGAAAGAGTTAAAGATACTGTATTGCATTAATACATGCATACCCATGTTATAGTACCACAACTCAAAATAGCTAAACTTGGAAGTGGCCTATATGTCCTTCAGCAGACTAATGGATGAAGAAAATGTGATATTTATACACAGTGGAATGCTACTCTGCTATAAAAAGGATAATTTGAGTTATTTGTAGGAAAATGGATGTACTTTGAGACAATAATGTTAAGTAAAATAAAGCTTAAATATTGTATGGTTTCTCTTCTGTGAGAAACCCAAAGTATAAATAATTTAAAGAGCAAAATAAAAGATAGATAATAGGAAGTAGGGAGATAGATTTTTGGCATAAGATAAGGGAACCAAGAGATGGAGGGAGGGAAGGGGCTAAAAAAATTAAGATGTGTTATGTGCATGTACCAGTTCCCAACAATGAATACAACATCGTGCACATTCTGATAGAAAAGTTCCTGCCTGGATCCAAACTTTGCCTGAACTACAGAGCATTGGTGTTGT